CATGGCACAGCAGACCTCTCCTGTCTTGCTTGTTGCTCCCCTCAGCAGTATATTTCAGTCAATCTGCCTGTTCTGCTCCCCACTCTGTCTCTGGTGAATCCTCTCACCTCCCAGACCTCTGGACTGTACCTCAGTTCTTGTATGGATAAACAAATAAATCTTTAAATAATAAATAAAGTTTAAATATTGCATCAATCAAGATTTGGTGTTACATACAAGATAAACTGAACCTGATTACATTAAACTAAACACAAGATGTATTGAAGAGACACCATAGCTCACGTGTTAATATTAGTCTGGAAAGTAAACTTGGTTAGCAGGCAGACACCATATAGTAGATGGTTAAGAAGAGGTAACACAACACCTAGCTTTTATGATAAATCCTTCAGACAATTATGCTGCCACACTGGTACAATGCCCCAAATACTGGTGCAAGGGTATGTTATTTAATGGGTTTTAACCAACCCTCTTCTTACTACTCCTGATTCAACATTTCGTGGAAGATTGTACAATTGGTCATGTCTAAGTTATCTGCCCTTTTCCTTTTCTTGCAGCAGTAAAAAGAAAGAGGGTCCGCCTCCTAGAGTTTTGTGGTGGTAGTGGGTAGCTGACTCTCTGAAGTCTAGAGAGTTTGGATTTTCTCAAAACATCCTGTTTGAAGAGTTTAATACCAAACAGCTTATCAAACAGAAAAATAAATAAGAATCAGTTTCCCTGTGGATTGTAACTGTATCTGAAGGACTTGGGTGGGCTTGAAGTAGGGTTTAGTACAAGAAGGGCAATGAAGTCCACAGATAACCTTCACCATGAGGTAAGTAAAGACATAACATGAACCAAATGTGCTGAAAATTTGCATGAACTTGTAGAGTTCTCTGGAGGATATTTGAGTTGGAGACTGAAAAATTACATCACTCAATCAAGCAGGATGTAATTCAAAGCCATTTAGATTTGACCATGTGTGTCAACAGCGCCATTCTAGTATCCCAGAATGAGAAAAATAAAGCACAGTTCTCAGCTTATCTATCCAGTCATTAATTCCCACATTCATTTATTGACTTGTTAATCCAATTATTCAATCTAGGGATATTGTCAGGAAAATAAAAGACTATCTTAGAAGCTCTTGAGGAAGTTGGCATAAAAGCACATCATTACTACACATGATAATACATGAAAGGATGTATTCAACAAATATTTATTGAGCAGTGATTATGTGCCCTGCTCCTGGGGTACACAGATACTCAATACTTTGTGATGATTCTCAAAGAACTCTAGTTAATGATGAAAATAAATGCATAAATAAGTGCAGTAATTATATTCCTGTGTTATAAGTGCAATTATAGGGATACAGACAATGGTAGCACAAGAGATGATTTAATAGACAATAATAAACATTAGAGCAAGTACTTGGCAATTATTAAGTACACTGGGTGAAAAATAGTAATAATATTTTCTAATTTGTCAGGTCAAAAAATTTGCTGATTCTAATTTTCCTATCACAGCAAATTGTCCCTTTATTGAAAAGTCTCCCTGGCTTCATTTCTCATATTATAAAACATTTTAACATAAAATAGCCTTTAGTCAGCAACTTGGGATAGCTCCAAGTTACTCTCAAAGAAGGAATTACATTTGAGAATTGCATTTGAGATTTGGCACTTATATGTGTGCTTCGTGGAAGGTCAATGAAAGTATGTAGATGAATATGTTTTATTATATTATTCTCATTATTCATATTATCAACTAAAGAGATAAAAGCTTAATTACTTCTCTGTCTCAACTGGCTAAGCTTGTTCATACATCCAATGGATTCATTTGTTTATTCAATAAATAGTTCATGAACAATATCTCTGTGTCAGATTTGTGTTGGACATTCACGTAACACAGAAGAATTTATCAAAGACATGGCTTTGAATTTCTAAGAAAATTATTGTGCTATTATTAGGTGATTAAGTACTATAATATTTGCTTTTTTCAAAAAGTGTGCAAAGAAGAGAGTGTAACCTTGCCTGGAAGACAGAGGTGTCCAAATTTTGTCAGTTTACAACAGGAAATCAGTCCCATATGACTTTTATGGGAGAAGTTAAGAAAGGGAGTACAACCCAGTTCTTGTATGCATAAGTAAAATAAATCTTAAAAAAAAAAAAAACTGCAAATAGGGGTGGTGTGTAAGGAGCTCAGCCACTTCTCCTCCCAGTGAAGTAATCACTTGCTATTTTTTTTTTAAATAACAATCAAAACAAAGCAAAATCAACCATTTAGACTCTGGAAAGTTTCCGAAGTATGTATAGAGACTAGAGACATATATTGAAAAAAAATCTGTTAAATCTCAGTAAGAACAGTGAGACTGTGGTATGACTAATTCTATTTTCTCCCAGTTTTATGTAAGAAGAACTGCAAATTGGGTTTGTAGCCAAGAGCATGAAGCTCCCATTCATACTAGCTGCCAGTGTAGGGTTATAGTTTCCCTCCAGGAAAGACTGGTCACTGACAGTTCAACTTTCCAAGATCTATCCTGCAAATGCTTTATTATTCCAAATAGAGTTGGCCAAGAGGACTGGTATTCCCTTAATATAATTTTGTTCCAAATTATGTTTATTGAAGTAAAGTAGATTTACATCTTTGCATCTACCATGGGGATTATATGTTCAAACACCTACAAATATAGATTTTCACACCCGGCCCACCACTTGTATCCCACTAATTCTCATATGAAACAATGTGAAGGAAGTAGAATGAAATCTGAAAAACCCAGAGGAAATAAAGTAATGATTAAAATGTCTTATTAAAGAGACAATGATGAATTAATACTGTATTAAATCAGTATTGAATTAATACTGATTTATAATCTATAAGATTATAATTGGGGCCATGGAAGGTGGAGATTTTCTGGCCTGGAAAGAATATAAGAAATGTGGAGAATGAGTCACTGTCAGAAATTCTGGATGCACTGGAAAATGGAGTGCGGGTGCAATAGTTTCTTTGACATAGTTTCTTCCTACCTATGCCATCTATTACTAAATCTAGCTCAAAATTATTTGGCAACGGTGCTTGGGAAATAGTTTATAGGATAAGTGCATCAAATAGAACAAGAGCCAATAAGCAAAAGATAAGAATGCATTAAAAGTATTAGTACAATAATCAAGTGGGATCCATTCCAGAGGCACAGGGTAGTTCAACATTTGAAACTCATTCAACATAATTCATCACATAAAAGCAAAGATAAAAACTATATGATTATATCAATAGATATCAAGAAAGGATTTTATAAAATTCAACAGCCATTTATGATGAAAACACTCAAAAAACTGGGGATAATGGGAACATATTTTAATATTAAAAAAACTAATTTATAATAAACCCACATCCCACATAATTCTCAATGATGAAAAAGTGAAAGCCTTTCCACTTAGATCTGGTATAGACAAAGATGTCCGCACTCACCACTACTACTCAACATGGCATTAAAAGTCTTAGCTAGGGCCTCCCCTGGTGGAGCAACGGTTGAGCGCTGGGCTGTGGAGCTACCCACAGCCTCTGCAACGCCAGTTCAATCCCTGGCCACAGGCGAGTGTCCCACATGGCACGCAGACCTCTCCTGCCTCGCCCGCTGCTCCCCACAGCAGTGTATTTTGTCGGTCTGCCTGCTCTGCTCCATGCTCTGGATCTGGTGAGTTCTCTAACTCTCCCGTGCTTCTGACTGTACCCAGTGCTTGCATAAATAAATAAATAAATAAATAAATAAATAAATAAATCTTTAAAAAAAAAAAAGACTTAGCCAGAGGAATTAGGCAAGAAAAGACTATGAAAGAAGTATAAATTCGAAAAGAAACAAAGCTATCATTATTTGCAGACACCATGATAATATATAGAAAGAGAATCCTAAAGACTTCAGTAAAAAACTAACTGCAATAAATCAGTTTAGTAATGTGGTAGGTTATAAAAGCAATACACAAAACTATCATTGTCTTCACACATGCAAGCAATGAAGTGGAAGAGAAAAAAAAAAAAAGAAAATGATAACAATTACAATCATACTGAAAGCTGGTAAATACCTAGGAGTAAATCTAACAAAGGAGGCAAATGTACTATGAAAGAAAACTATAAAAAAACATTGTAAAAGAAATAGAAGACACAAAGAAATGGAAAGATATTCTTTGTTCATTGATTGAAAGAATCACCATGTCAAAATGGCCATCCTACCAAAGCTATATACAGAACCAATGCAATCCCAATAAAGATTTCAATGGCATTCTTCAAATAAATGCAATAAAAATTACTGAAATTCATATGAAATCCCTTAATCTTCCCAAATCACAACATTGATATAAATATTCAATATCTTCTCTATTGAAATCCCAACTCCTTAATGTGCAGCTTATCAAAAAATCCATATAGATAGCCAAAAGACACATAATAGTCAAAACAATCTTGAAAGGGAAAATGGAGTTGGTGGACTCAAAGTTCCTGATTTTTTGCAGTTTTATTGAAGTATAATTGACAAGTAAAATTATAATGCATTTAAATGGTACAGTGTTATTTGATACACATACACATTAAAAATCACTTCAGCAATTTAAGTAAGACATCAAACCTCACATTGTTACTATTTTCTTTTGCTTTTCTTTATTTATGAGAATATTTAAGATCTACTTTGAGCAAATTACTATTATATGATGCAATATTGTCAACTAACTGCCATGATATACATTAGATTCTCAGGATTTTTCATTTTACAACTAAATGTTTGTATTCTTACATCAACCTCTCTTCATTTTGCCAACACCAGACCACCAATCTGCTCCTTGTTTTTATGCATTTTGATTTTTTGTTTGGTGTAATCCATGTGTAAACAATTTTATACAAAATTTGTCTTTCTGTGGCTTATTTGGCTTATTTTAATGATCTCCAATTTCATCCATGTTGTCATAAATGTAGAATTTTGTCTTTTTTGAGGTTGAATAATATCACATTATATATATATATGTATATCACACTGAAATATATATAACATATATGCCATATTTTCTTATTTAAAACTAACTACAGGGCCTCCCCGGTGGCGCAGCAGTTGAGCGCTGGGTTGCAAAGCTGCCCGCGGCCTCTGCGGTGCCGGTTCGATCCCCGGCTGCTCCCCAGCCACTGGAGGAGGGTCCCACATGGCGCACAGTCCTCTCCTGCTGCCCGCTGCTCCTCTCAGCAGTGTACTTTGTCAGTCTGCCTGTTCTGTTCCCCGCTCTGGCTCTTGTGAATTCTCTCACCCTCCTGTGCTTCTGACTGTACCCAGTGCATGTATAAACAAACAAACAAACAAATAAATAAATAAAGCATGCCTCCATTTAAAAAAAAAAAGGAATATATAAAACTAACTACAATGTAACAATAATCAAATCAGCATGGTGCAAGCATGAGAATAGACATGCAGATCAATGGAATACAATTGATGCCAAGAAATAAAGCCATCCATTTATGTTCAATTGATTTTTGACAAACATGTCAAATTAGGGCCTCCCCTGGTGGCACAGTGGTTGAGCACTGGGCTGCGAAGATGCCCACAGCCTTTGCAAAACCAGTTGGATCCCTGGCCACGGTTGAGGGTCCCACATGGTGTGACAGACCTCTCCTGCCGCCTACTGCTCCCCTCAGCAGTGTATTTCCGTTCATCTGGGCTGTTCTGTTCCCTGCTCTGGCTCTGGTGAATTCTCTCACACTCCCGTGCTTCTGACTGCACCCAGTGCTTGTGTAGATAAATAAATAAATCTTAAAAAAAAAAGAGAAAAAGTTTTAAAAAAAAGTCAAATTATTCAATGGATGTTTGAATACTATGCTCAACAAATGCTACTAGGACACTTGGATATCCATATGCAAGACAATTAAGTTGTTCCCCTTCTTTACTTTATGTACAAAAAAGTCTCAAAATGGATTGTGAAACAAAACGTAAAAGCTAAAACCATAAAACATTTAAAGGAAACATACAAGTACATCCTCATGACAACGGTTTGGATTTCTTTTCTAGACATGACTCAAAAAAAAAAAAAAAAAGGAAAGAAAATATATAGATGCATTGAACTACATTAAAACGAAAGAAGAACTTTAGTGCTGCAAACAAACCATTTTGTTTGAATGTGAAAAGCAAGTTACAGAATAGCGGAGAATATTTGAAATTCACCTATCTCATAAGGGAATTATGAGATTCCCTACAACTTAATGATAAAAAATAGATAATCAAATTGAAAATAGGTAAAGATTCTGAGAAGTCATTTCTCTAAGGAAGATATACAAATGTCCAAATAGCACATAAAATTGCTTAGTATCATTTATCACTAGAGAATGCAGATTAAACCCCAATGACATACCACTTCTCTCTCACTAAAATGACTATAATAAATGAAAGACATTAGCAGGTGTTGGTGAAGAGGTGAAATTCTCATAGTTTCTGGGAATATAAAATGGTATATTCACTTTGGAAAACAGCTCAGTAATTCTTCAAAAATGTTAAAGACTGACCAGTAATTTGACTCTTAGGTATTATATATAAGATAAATGAAACCATGTATCCACACAAAACTTGCATATGAAAGTTCATAGCAGCTTTATTCATAGTAGCCAAAAAATTGAAACACGTTAAGTTCCTAAATCAGCACTACAACAGTACTAAAGGCAGAGCCAAGGGACAGTGTCCAAGGTGGGGGACGTTTCACTGCCGGTCAGTTCTCACCTTCAAACACAATTGCAAGACCATTCAGGCTCAGAGTCTAACAGAAACAACTGTATTTATTTATTTTTTTCTTAACAAACAGGAGATTGGGGAAAAGTAAAGAGTTTCTAAGGCCACAAGTGACTAACTACCTCACCCTCAATGGTGTCTTCAGTGTCCAGAAGTTCTAAAACAAAGACCACTTGTAGAAGATAAGGTGACACTGCAGTGACCCATAGCTGCGGCCTAAAGCCTGGACCAGATGCCAGACTGGACAACATAGATTTAATAGGAGGTAGCGCTGGAGAACCAGAGGCTACGGGAAGCTTTTTGTGATCTGTTGTCATACACAAAGAGGGAACAACAATTTGAGACACTTCCTCAGCCTGACAGTGCTACTTGCAGGCAATGTTGGATGCAGGTGCAGCAACTGGGTCTCCAGGAGGGTCTATGCAAATGTCAATGGAGATTGGAAAGCTAGAGGGCTAGAAGTCTACAGAGGTCTGGTGAACCCAACCCAGGTCATATGCTCGATGCTTCTCTCTCTTTGGAAGCTGTCTGCTTAATCCTTTTTCACAGATGGTCCAATGAATGCAACCTCTTAGAAGGTGGTCTGATGAATCCTTCATCTCTCTTTGGAAGATGGGGGCTGACTGACTCACCCTGACTCCTGCTCTGCTTATAGCCTCTTCAGATCCCCCCACCCTACAAGCCTGATTTTAAGATTTAACATCAATCAGTTCACTTTCCATTTTCAATCAGATAAGAATTCAAAGTTGAAGGACAGCTGGAGAGCTCAAGGTTGAAGGGCAGCTGGACAGGTTTGGAGAGATCCAAACCTGACTGGTTCACTTAGTCAAACCTGATTGGTCCATTTAGCTTGAACCTGTTGGTTTCCTGATAAACTTATAAAAGGGAAAAGTCCACCCCCCAGCCCCTGCTGACCTGCTCTGGAATCAGGGCAGAATCATTGGCCAAAGGACTGTGTTTTCAGTTCCAACAACTAATAAATAGACTAGTAAACACATGCAATAGAAAATTATCGAGCAACAAAAAGGAACATGCTACAACATAAATGGGCACTAACCAATAATCTTAAGCCAATAAATCATTGACAAAAGAATACATATTTTACAATTCCATTTATATAAAATGTCAAGAACAAAAAAATCTACATGTACAGAAAGTAGACTAGAGATTGCCAGGAGATTGAGAGAAAAGGGTGTGAATGGGGTGTGAGCATGATTGAAAATGGTCAAAGAAATTCTTTATGGTATTATGAAATTATTCTCAGATTGTGAAAACAGTTGTCTTAATTGTGTGCTCATATTAAAAACCAATCAGTTATGCGATTTAAATGGGTGAATTGTGTGTGTGTGTGTGTGTGTGTGTGTAATACACCTGATTAAAGCAGTTTTAGAAATTTAGAAAACCTAAATAAGGGACCAGGAAAAAGACTAATTATAATAAAGAAAAAATCAAAATCAACAACCAACTGTAAACCAGAGATACACTATGGGGGCGAAGGTAGGAGAGGAGGGATTAGGGTCAAAATAAGGGGGGTGGAATTGGATGGGGAATATAACCAAGATGAAAACGCATGCATTGTGCAAAAATGAAAATGATGTAAGAATCATATAAAATAAACATATTAAATATAAAAAGAATAAAAGAAACTGAGAAAAGGACACATACTTTATGTCAGGTGCTTCACTTTCTCTGCTGCCTGATATTTTTCTATTCTGTCACTATACTCCTGCACACATACTAAAATGCACTGTGCCACCAAGTGAGGACTGGACTTAAGAAAAGGCTAGAGAACAACCCTCTCATTCAAACTTAATTCCATTAGGATAGTCACCAGTGATTGCTTTTGGTATTTTGCATTGTATTACACGAGCTCTCTCAGTTTTTACAGCTCTCTCTTCCTGTATCCATATCTGTAGTATTGGGCAAGAGTGAGGAATAACCACCACATTATGGCACTCACAAGCTGTGCCACCACAAAGCAATACATGTGCATAGTCCAAAGATGAGAGCATTGTTTCTGATTCGTCTTTAGTTGGTTCCTCCTTCTTTAATTAGAACTTTTTCTTCTTAAAGTTAGCATACAAACTCCATCTATACATATCATTAATTCGTATTCCATCCATACCTAAATTGCAACAGTAAAGTTTGAGTTTTCCAAGAGGGAGGAGAGTTTGCCTGCAAATAGAATGTCACCTCTCTGCTCCTACATCATTTGTTATGCACTCTTACCTCAGCATGCCCCACAGTGCACTGTGATTATTAATTTACTTTTGTGTCCTAGCCTTAGCTCTAGGTAGATGTGTATGAACAAGGACAATATATTATCCAACTTTTGTTTTTAACCTTATAATCTATCCTAGTTTTAGAAACTAAGCAAACACTCAGCAAATGTGCCCAGAATGATTCATAAATTTTCAATTGGTAATTGATTATATCCCAAATGATCTAACTATTGTTATGGTGACAATACCATTTCTGCCAAACCTTTATTTTTTTTAAATAAATATTAAAGGAAAATAAGAGTATTTGATTACTCTGAGAGTAGACCTCCAACCACAGGCATTTAGACACAATCTAGAGTGAAATAGACAGATGCATTTCATTTAGAATATAAGATAAAGTTGCTATTTGATATTCTGTTCTCTGTGTAGGGAAACCCTCTTTGCTTTTCTGAATTCTAGTAATTGTCTTGTTTGTAGTCCCTTGCTGCAGACCTTTGCCTCCTGCCAACTGCTTGCCAGACGTGGTCTCAATGCTAAGAAGGGAGAGGTTCCCAGAGTGCATAAGATATATATTGAAATCAAACACTCTTCTAAAACTATTGTTTTCCAATTTCCACTAAATCATCCTTCCAATGACCCTTCCCACTCAGTGGATTTCAAAACACTTAGTGAAAGAATAACTAAAATAAAAAGTCATTATTCACAGATGCTTTGAACACCTGAAGGGTAAAGTTAGTTTTCCTTTTGCATGTCATTTATATCAATAATGCACCATTTTCTTTTCTTTTTAGCTTTACTTTGATTTAGTCTCCTTAACGATGGCATAGCAGTTGAATTTAAGTATCAGTATATCAATTCCTTTGTGATTTCTAAACTTTAGGATCAGAATGAAAGATTAGAAAACAAAATAGGAAGATCAAGTCTACTTCTCTACCTATAGTAAAAACAAGTCAAACATATTCTTGAAATTATATAACATGTCTTAAATTTCCTCTTTGCTGCTTTACTCTCTGTGTAAACTTGGCAAATTACTTAGCCCTCTATAGCATAGTTTTCTTATCAAAAAAAATATTAGCTCATTAGACAGAATAACAATTATATCTAAATTGTATTAACAAAAATATCTAAATTATAACTAAGTTAAACTTCATTTTAAGAATTTAATTGAGAGTAATGCCAGCAAGATGGCAGAACCCACACTTTATCACCCAATGGAAACCTTATATAAACAACTAGATTCTGGCTGAAAGTACTTTATAGGAGCTATGGAAATCAGTTAAAGGTTGACAGCAACCAAATAAAAGAAATAATCAAGAAAAAAATGTCAGAATAGGAAGAAATCTCATGTGTTCTTACTTGCTCCTACCTCACACCCTCTCTGGTATGGCATCTTGGTTTAAAAAGAGTGACTTATAACCAAGTTCCCATCCATGAATTAGAGAAAGTAAGGCAGACCTAATTTGAAGCATTCTTACCTGTCTGGAACTGTTTGAACAATTGGTCTCTGTGTTGTGTAACTTGAAATTCAAAAGATGAAAATAGGGCCTCCTGGTGGCACAAGGGGTTAAGCACAGTACTATGAAGCTATGTGCAGATCCCCAGCCAGCCAGGGAGCTACCCATATAATACAGCAAACCTCTCCTGTCTTGCCCACTGCTCCCCTCAGCATTGTATTTCAGTCAGTCTGCCTGTTCTGCTCCCTGCTCTGTCTCTGGTGAATCCTTTCACCCCCCTGCACCTCTGTCCTGTACCCCAGTTCTTATATGCATAAATAAATAAATCTTTTTTAAAATGATGAAAATAGAACAGCT